AAGCCTGTACATGTGCAGTACAGGTGATTTTTTTCCAAATATTTACAATCTGGGGTTGGTAAAATCCATGGATATGAGGTCAGCTATGTTGCAATCCATTCTTACTATTTTTTTTTTGCTATTTAGATGTTTCTCTCATTTTCATTTTAGCAAGTAGTCTTATGTTAATGTTAATGTGGGATTGCTGGATGACAGGGTTTTGTCACCTCAAAGATACTAAATAATCTATATTGCCCTACTAAGTTTTGTAACTAATTCACATGAACTCCATATGGTATTTAGAATATTAGTAATTTCAAATTCTGATAGAAAAAAATTAGTTCCAAGACATCATTTATTTCCACTTGACTAGATTTTCATCGGTGTTTGGTATAATCAGCTATCTCTGCACTTTAAATTATATTTTACACTCTTCTACAATCTCTAAAAACCATTTCTATTTTAAAAACATTTACTTTTAGGTAGGTATCATAAAGTTTTAGTATTTTAAATATTTTGCTACATTTTCTGTTCGGTTGTCACTGGAGTGCAGATATGCTGCTACTTTTTATAATTTAAATCTTAGATCCTGTGATCTAGTGGACTTCTCTTCTGGGATCATGTATACCTTACTAAAGTAAATATATCATTTAATATTCCTTGCACTGAAATTACCCTAGAGGTAAGCACTTACAATTGAGATAATCATGTCTGCTTTTGTCCTTTGTCCTGCTGGTGATCATATTTTCTAATATGAGCCCTGTTGGTGGATTTCTTTTCTATCTTCTTCAAATAAAGGATGTATAATTGTTTTTAATTCTTTTTTAGCCTTTTCTCCCTAATTATTTCTGGAATATTTCTTCTCAACTTCATCTAATCTTTTCTTTGGCCACTCCTAAAAAAATTCATGTTAAATTTTATCATTTTATCAGCCACTTAGCACCATCTTTTTATTTCCTTACCTCCTTATGTCACTTACAGATAATTTCCTCAGAACCATATTTCTGTTTAACCAAGTTTTAATTTCAATAATATATAATATATATATAACTTACAGAAGTAAATTAACTACTTTCTTTTCAAAATCAACTTGTCTTATCTGACATTATTTTCAGTGCTGGGATCAAACTCAGAGGCTCATGCATGCTAACACCAAGCCCTCTATGGCTGAGCTACATTCCTAGTCTATTTAAGGTTGTCTTACTCCTTCATTGTTTATTCTTTAATATTCTATTCACATTTTATGATTTTACCTTTAACATTTTTATTTTTATGACTTATATGATGAAATTAAGATTACATGTTTTTATGATAATATCATTTCTTTCAGACTATGCTCTGTAGTTTCCAGTATACAAATATTCTGGTTCTGTAGCTATTAATTTCCTTTCACGGTATTTTTCTCCTGTGCACTGTGATGTTTGATGGTGAGCTCATTTGCAGTTGAGGCTGGTTTTTTTTGTTGTTGTTGTTTGTTTTGTTTTGTTTTTTCCCATGGGAAATCTGTTTGCTTGATTTATTAGAGACTACTAGCACATACAGGAGGATAAGGTTGATCCCATTCCCATATGGCACACACACATTTGGGGATTTGATTCCTCACAAGGCACTTTTCCCCTACTGAGAGCTCCAAAGAAAAGAGAGCACTCTAGCTGCCTTTCTGTGTACACAGGAGAAATTTTGTAGTCTCCTTTTCACAGTCAAAAAGTATTTACAGACTCCCTGTTTAAGTCGGTTCAATTCCAGTTTCTCTCTGTTGGTCCAAATCCTAATGTCAAGCTCTAGTAATGGCACTGAGCCTCCAAACTTTGGTCCTAATCTCAGAACTGAGGCTAGACTCATACCACCTCACTGCCTTTGTTGCTCAGTTTTGTTTAAGCTTATGCTTACTGTAGATTTCCCCACTTTGGTCTGAAACCTAAAAATTTTCCCTTTTCTCCCAAATTCAAATGTTTTACAATTTACATGATATGTTATTCAGCACATCTACATGTTTGAAACACCAGATATTGGAAGAGTAGTGTCCATGTCAACTTAATATGGTACTTAGAGTCAATCATTGAAAACTCATGTTTGAAAATAAAATTAGGCTCAAGATGTCATAATGAAACATTTCTTTACAATATCTTCAGACTTCAGTGAAATATTTGTTGGTTAATATGCACTTTGGAGAGGAACACAGATAGATTTTTTTACATGTAGTTCATATTCTATTTAAAAATACTAATGTTGATAAAGTAACTTTAATTCAGTACTATTTGCACATGAAAAAAATATATGTATGTATATTATATATATATATTCTTATTCAGCCCCAAATCTATCACTTTATTTGAATTTACATCTCCAATAAAATTTTGCTTCTTAAATAACATTTTGATACATGTTGTTTTAATGATCAGTTGACACAGGTCATGTTTTTGTGAAATAGAAGGAAATATCACATTGCTCTCTACATCAGTAAGTATTCTTTTCAGTACTTAAATTATATGCAAAGTTTGTTGAAATACTCAGCTATTTATTATTCTTGTAAACAAGAGGAGATAGGCAATTATGGTACATTTCATGTACATCGTGATATGATATATTGTGATTATGATTCACTTGCTACAGGTATATAGTTTTTGATTTTTTACAAATATACAAATATCTTATGAAACTTGCTTTCTACAAGTTTTTATCCTAAAGAAAGATTTATTTTTAAGAACTGATAGTCTTCTATTTAAAATATCACATAACTGAAAGACACTTTTTTTAATGATATGATTTACTTAATTTTTCAATCTCTTTTATGATTTCTTATAATTGCTGTTTATTGTAGCATTTTAATTGTCTGTGGAGAGCTTCAAGTGTCTTCATGGGAGGCATTTTTTAAAAATTAGGATTGTAATCACTCTTAGTGCAATGTTGAGTCAGGCAGAGAGCTGGCATGAGCTAATCACGGCAGCTCTGCTGTTCTAGCCTGGCTGCATTTCCCAAAGAAAATGAACAAAATGAGGCCATTGCCTTCATTTGTTTGTTCCTCATTCTTTGAACATATCAGATTTCACCATCCTCTGAATGATAAATATATTAAAATACTTCCTTTCACAAGTGAGGAAATTTCTCTCCCACTTTAAGCTTACCTTTGCCTGTCCGTTATTGAGGCAAGTGGCAAAGGTTGCAGATTTCTGCAGAGTTTTGGAAAAAGAATGAGGCACACACAAGAGATGCATTGGTACATATTAGAGAACAGGCACTAAAAGCCTGGAGAATTGCCCAAAGAGACATTCAGGATGGAGAGAGAAAGTGTCCTGAAGCAAGCAATCACTCACACACTGCTATCTAATCTTGGTATCCGAGAGTAATTTTTCATTTCAGATAATATTGAAATGAAATGTACTAAATCTAGAAAACTTACTATATTTCAGCACATGACAACTCTTTACTATGGACTCAGGACTTTCCACTTTCTTGTGTAGACAGTAAGTAGTCCAAGCAATCCAATTTCAGTAGTCTAAGACAGGTTCCTAAATCGTCCCTAATGTAACAATACATGCCTACTATGTAACTATTTTAATATTTAGCTCCACATTTCAGATATTCCTGTCCTAGTACATATATACTTAGCATTAAAATTAATACCTGATACTCATGTTATAGCCTAATGTTTTATATGTACATATATGAATGCACGCATGTCAGCTATAATCCTGTAACATTTTATAATTGCCTGGATGAGACTATAAATTAATAAAAATTAGTAACAGTCAATCTATGATTGAAATCAAAGGAAGAGAGACTTTCATTTTCATACCAGTATGGCATGCTAACATTGTCAAAGAATTTTTTCTTTTTTCAGTGAATGTAGTTGTACATGATCAGAGCCGTGTGGAACCGATTACTAGAGCCAGTGTAGGTAAGTCTATCATGTTAGACTTGTGAAGCCTCTGTTTCCTCTGTGTGTATAAGCTGTAGGTGTAATGCATCCCTTGGTGTTAACTGGAGGAGCTATTAGCTGCACATGTACAACAAATAAAATTGCATTTCTAAAAGTACTCTTGAGAGACAATATTGGTTCTTTAATCAATCCCTCTAGGCCATCTTACATTTTTGGTAATTAAACAGAAGAATTGGATATGGTGAGAATTTTAAGACCTATTTAGGCTCAAACTTTTTAGAGGATTATTTAAAAATCTAGAATAAAACCTTTGACAAAACTCTTTACAGAATAAGATGCAATAACATAGATTTGAGTGTACGGTCATTTCAAAGGGTTTCCATTTTCAGTGCTATGCACACAACTTTTTTTATATTGAAGGAATTTATTATTTTATTACCATATTATTTTTGTAATGGCACCTTGTGACATTTATAAATTTCTTACAGTATATCATAGTTGAATTCATCCCCTCCATCATTCTCCTATATTCCATTTCCCCCTTATTCTAGAATAGTTTCAATGGGTCCCATTTTTCCATTTTCATACCTTAGCACAAAATATTTATGTGCAGAATTTTTAAGTTAACAGACTAGATGGGAAACAGGGAGAGAGCTTTTATAACTTTTTTGTTGTTCTGGAAAAGTCAACCCAGGGCCTCAAGCTAAGCAAGTGCTCTACCACTTGAGGTACATCCCTAGTCTTTTTTTGTCACTGACGTTGTCATTTTGTTTTTAAGATAGGATCTTGAGCTAACTTTGCTTGGATTGCCTTGAACTGTCATCCTCCCACCTCACCTCAGCCTCCTAAGTAGCAGGGATTACAAATATTCCCTACCACATCGAATTTAAAATGACAGATTTGTAAGGTCACTTATCCTCTGTGAACATATAACATTTAGACAAATGCCAGGTAACTTATACATGCATGAATGCAGTCGATTTGATAAGTGCTTAAGGACACCTACAACAGTACCATATACAGAAAGTACAGTAAATATTTATAGAAGACTACTGCTTAAGTGCCAGAAGACATAATAGAGAAGCTAAGGAAAGTGACATCCTGTCTTGACAATGAGGCAGTACCAGAATAAACATTGTACCTTGCAGGTACATGGCCCAAAACAAGGGTCCTCATTTGTGCTCCCTGGGCCACTGCAGTTACAGGGTTTGCAGTCTGGGTAGCCGAAGTAGCCCCTGGCACACCGATCACAGCTTAATCCTCCAAAACCAGCTTTGCAATGACAGGATCCAGGTGCCAGACCTATGGGAAAATTTTCCACATATTAGCATCTTTAAAACAGATACAGAATTTGATTTTTAATGCTTGAATTATAGTAACCTTTATATCATATTCTGACTTCAAAAACAGATTCTTGACATGTATGAGACAGTTGAAACCAAAAGGTAAGGAATCCAAATAAAGTTTGCTATGATTATGCTAATAGGACAGTTCTAAGCACTTTAAAAAATATCAAGAATGAAAAAAAGAAAGATGAAATCTCAAAGCATCTACAAAACTATAACTACAATCTACCAAGGCTACAGAAAAAATCATAGCAATCATCAAGGGGTAATTTCCATAAATTCTGAGGCTAACGATACCACACTGAGAAGAATAAGCAATGTCGTGTGCATACTGATGGCTCAGAAACAAATCTACCCCACCCCATTACCACAAAATGGGGAAGAGATGGGAATAAATACAGATGACTTAAAACAAAAATTTAGCAATGGTAATCTAAGGATAATGTCCTTGACTGGTTTGCTAAAGAATTCAGAGGTGTTCATAGGAATGGATATTTTGGACATAGAAGAGGGATACAAAAGCAGCTTAAATTTCCTTTCTTTAGCACAGAAATACAAAAGGCAATTTTCATCCTCATGAACACCTTTAGTTTCTTCTTTAGCAGTACTGTCAGCAATGTTGCATGTTGTTCATGTCTTTGATTAGAAAAATAAAAAAGAATGCAGAACAAATGAATATAAGTCATAGATCTTCAAAATTTGGAAAAGATAAGAGCAAATTGGCAAAAGATAATCCCCATCAGGGAACAGAAGGATGGTGAGGAAAAAATCAAGGGCACATTATTGTAAGAAAACAAATAACTGAACACCAGAAATAGGGTCAAACATTGATGCTAAATATATACAAATACAAATGGTCTTACTGTTCCTACTAAAAACATGAACATATAATGGCATAAGAGGCACACAAAATAACCAGAAATATGAAGAATAAATGAACAGAAATATATATTAGGAAATACAGAAAAGTAAAAACAGTTGCACTAATATTAACTCCTGCCAATAAATAAAATATATTCTATATGATAAGCTCCCATTTTGCATTGATAAAACAATAAAAAATATTATTATTTGGGTCTCAAATAAGCACTAATTATGAGCTAGAAATATATAGACAACAAAGCATATTGGAAAAATTTTAAATGTACAGAAATTAATGGATGAGAAGGACATTAAGCTACTTACTGTAAATACTTGTAGATTAATAAGGAAGAAAACAGAAAATTTTGATAATAATGCCGACATATACTATATAAATACTATAACTTACTATAGCTTATTATTGGCTAGTGCACAAACATATTCATTTGTTAAGGCAGAAGTTATCTAAGATTAATTTTTTACCAAATTCTTCAAGATTTGTATCAAGTACCAGGATAAATTCAGATAAAATTAATTAGGAATTTTGAGTATGATAAAATTATATAAATAATTTAATAACTTGAAAAGCCATAAAAGTATCTGTCCTTAATAACTTTTGTGTTAAAGAGAAAAATCAAGTTTCAATTATACATTAAATACTTTCTTAGTAGAATACAACAGTAGTAAGAAAAGAACTCAGCAATATTTATTGGATATAGAAAACTGTAACAAAAAACAACTTATAGGCTTAAGTAGTTCCATCATAAGAATAATACTCATTACTTAAGTGGAAAATAAAATGAACCTTACAGGAATTAAGGGAGATTGAAAAGTAAATTAAAAAGATCATTGGGAAAAATATAGACAGAAGATCTCCATATAAAACAAATCAAAATGAATTCCAGATAGACTATTAAGTGTCATAAAATATAATCAGACAAATAAAAGAAATAAATGCAAATATCTAATTTTGATAGATTAGAACATGAGGGTTATTAGGCAAGTAAGGAATTCAATAGAAAAATAACACGTTATATGATAATCTTACATAGTGTGATTATTAAAGCTAAAAATTACCTGAATTTTCAGAGCTAATTATATGAAAATTATTTGTTTTGTATATTAGAAATTCTTTTTTTTGTTGTTTATTTATATGTGCATACAATGTTCGAGTCATTTCTACCCCCACCTCCTACCTCCTCCCTATCCTCCCACCCACTCCCTCTCCCCTCTACTCCCTTACTTCCAGGTAGAAACTGTTTTGCCCTTATCTCTAAAATTGTTGAAAAGAGAGTATAAACAATAATAAGAAAGACATAGGGGTTTTGCTAGTTGAGACAAGGATAGCTATACAGAGAGATTCCTCCCATTGCTTTCATGTACATATGTGTTACATTCTAAGTTGATTCTTCTCGAACTGACCTTTTCTCTAGTTCCTGGTCTCCTTCTCCTAACGGCGTCTGTCACTTTAAAGTTTCTGCATTAGTTCCTTTGCATTGAGGACATCAAATGCTATCATGTTTTCCTGGGTTTCTTACCTATCCTCATACCTCCCTGTGTGCTCTCACCTCATCATGTGACCAAAGTCCATCTTATCATCAATGGTGAGACACAAAGCAAATCTAGAAATTGTTTATAGCAAATGTGACATACTATTACTTTTTTTAACATCTAAAGAGCCCTTACAAATCTAAAGAGAAAAAAAAAAAACCTATCTTACACTGAAAGAAAATAAAGGTACAGAAAATTCAAAAAAAGCATACATTTAAATTTCCATAATAATAACAATAGTCCCAATAAGATACTAGAAGATAACTTTCTACCATTTGTCTATTCAATTTGATTAAGCATTAGACCACATCTTGGACTTTTCCTAAAGAGATAATCAAATCAGAATAAGCATCAAGGTAAAATGCACTGCATTTAGGAGTTCAGCTTTGCAACTCAAGTCTCTATTGGGATAACATGTAACTAATTATAGTATGAATGTTGATTGTATTTTAAATTAAAATCATAAGAATTCATTTTTAGTCTATAGCCAAATGTAATTGCTAAAATTTTGAAAAGATAAACGTGTAACTGACACACACTGCCAAGTGGTAGGGAGTGTAGGAACAGAATTTTTTCTCATTTTGTGTAGTAAGAGCTTAAGAAACAGAGTTTTGATACATTATGAAATGGAGGTTTAAGCTTTTCTGTTTAATATGAAGTAAATACAATAGAAGGAAAATGAAAGCACATAGTATAGAGAAGTTAGGAAGTAGTAGGAATGAACCAGATCTTTGTTTTTCAAGATGGAGTCAGTAAGCAATATTTTATGGTAACAAAAACACTGATGTGAATATCATTTAGATATTGGAGGTAATTTATGGAAATGAATAGAAGAAAAGACCCAATACAGTTAAATTTGACAGGAGATTGAAGGCAAACAGGTTGCTAGCTAATTTTTCTCTTCCTTATGTTAAAAATTTATATCTATTGTCTATAACAAAAATATTTACATACAAAAATCTTCATCAAAGCATTGGTTACAAGGCTGGTGGAGTGACTCAAGTGGTAGAGCATCTGCCTAGCAAGTATGAGGCCCTGAGATCAAACCGCAGTACAGCAAAAAAAACCACCCAAAACACTGATTGCAATACATAAAAATTTGCAAAAACTTAATGTTTATATATAAACTTGAATGAGTGAATAGTTATGATACAGTCATATTCTGATGTGATATTTAAATGCTAAGTCAGATTTTAGAGACTGAGAAAACTCACCATGGAAAATAAAAATATCAAGATAAAAAATTCTCAGCATTCTGATAAAAATATACAAAAATGTTAATATGAGTATCTCTTCTGAATTACTACTGCCTAATGTATGTGTTTTCCTATTTGACTACTTTATAACATTTTCAATGATCTTATACTTATTTATTTGTTTATTTTTGCAGTACTAATGTTTGAACTCAGGGCTTAATGCTTGCTAGACAGGCACTCTAACACTTGAACCACTCCACCAGCCCAATCTTATATTTATTTAAAAAGTGGGGGAATTGAGTGATATTAGTGAAAATAGCATCATGATTTAATTGTTACTCCAAAAGGGGAATTTAAAATGAAAAATGATCTCAGTAATTCATCATCTGAATATTAAAACATGTCAATTTTTTAATCTTTCAAGATTTAAGGCTGCATGTAATGACCAAATTGGTAATCCAATGTTTTATAAAGAGATTAGGTAAGTTTGAGAAAGACTATAGGAAAACAATTCCATTTACTATAGCCTCAAAAAGATCAAATACCTAGGAGTAAACTTAACAATGGATGTGAATGACCTCTACAAGGAGAACTACAAACCTCTGAAGAAAGAGACTGAAGAAGACTACAGAAGGTGGAAAGATCTCCTGTGCTCATGGATGAGTAGAATCAACATACTAAAAATGGCTACACTACCAAAGGCAATCTACACATTTAATGCAATTCCCATCAAAATCCCAATGACATTCATCACAGAAATTGAAAAATCTACCCTAAAGTTTATTTGGAATCACAAGAGACCGCAAATAGCCAAGGCAAAACTCACCAAAAAGAGTAATGCTAAAGGTATCACAATACCTGACTTCAAACTATATTACAGAACCATAGCAGTAAAAACAGCATGGTACTGGCACAAAAACAAATATGAAGACTAGTGGACCAGAATAAAGGACCCAGATATGAATCCATACAGCTATGCCCACCTTACTTTTGATAAAAGCACCAAAAACATATGATGAAAAATAGACAGCTTCTTCAACAAATGTTGCTGGGAAAACTGGTTATCTGCTTATAGAAAACTGAAACTAGATCCATGTCTATCATTCTGTACTAGTATCAACTCAAAATGGATCAAGGACCTTAATATAAGACCTGAAACTCTGAAGCTAGTACAAGAAAGAGCAGGGAATACTCTGGAAGCAATAGGTATAGATAGGCAAGGACTTCCTCAATAGAATCCCAACAGCTCAGCAACTAAGAGAAAGGATGGACAAATGGGACTACAAGAAATTAAAAAGCTTCTGCACAACAAAAGAAATGGTCTCTAAACTGAAGAGACCACCACAGAGTAGAAGAAAATATTTGCCAGCTATACATCAGACAAAGGACTGATAACCAGAATATTCAGGGAGCTCAAAAAACTAAGCTCACCCAAAACCAACAAATGAATAAAGACATGGGCAACTGAACTAAACAGAACTTTTTCAAAGGAAGAAATTCAAATAGCCAAAAACACATGAAAAAATGCTCACCATCTCTGGCCATAAAGGAAATGCAAATTAAAACCACACTAAGATTCCACCTCACTCCTGTTAGAATAGCTATCATCAAAAACACTACCAACAACATGTATTGGTAAGGATGTGGGGAGAAAGGAACCCTTGTACACTGTTGGTGGTAATACAAACTAGTGCAACCACTCTGGAAAATAATATGGAGGCTTCTTAAAAATCTAAACATAGATCTGCCATATGATCCAGCAATCCAACTCCTGGGGATATGCCCAAAGGAATGTGACTCAGGGTATTCCATAGGCATCTGCACACCCATGATTATTGCAGCACTATTCAAAATAGTCAAGCTATGGAAACAGCCAAGATGCCCCACTACTGACAAATGGATTAAGAAAATGTGGTATTTATATACAATGGAATTTTACTCAACCATGAAGAATTAAATCTTGTCATTCACAAGTAAATAGATGTAACTGAAGAACATCATCTTAAGTGAAGTTAGCCAGGCTCAGAGGCCAATAATTGTATGTTCTTCCTCATATGTGGCTTATAGACCTAAAACAAATGCAGTAGTATTATCAGACATGGGTCACACACTGAGGGGAGAATACATACAGGAGGAATAGGGAAAGGTAGGAAACCCAAAACCTGAAAGTATTTGATGTGCCCACTGTAAAGGAGTTAATATAGTAACCTTAAACTAACAGAGGTCAATATGGGAAGGGGACTGAGAAGTAGTGAAGAGGTCTGGTAGAGATGAACTAATTCAGGTTGTAATGCACATGTGCATGAAAGCAATGCTAGGAATCTCTCTGTATAGCTGTCCTTATCTCAAACTAGCAAAAATGCTATGTCTTTCTTATTATTGCTTATGTCTTCTCTTCAACAAAATTGGAGAAGAGGGCAGAACAGGTTCTTCCTGGGAGTGAGGGGGGTGAAGGGGAAAGGGAGGGGGCAGGGGACATGGGGAGAAATGGCCCAAACAACATATACACATATGAATAAATGAATAAATTAACCAAAAAAAAGAAATCAGGTAAGCTAAACTGTGCCTCTTAACTCTATAGTCACTACCAGACCACCCCCCCAAAAATCCCTACATTGTTGCCATGATTTACTTTTCTTTCTAATACAAATAAAAATCCACTCTTTAAGACCTAAAGAATCTGTTCCAGATACATTTCATAAATTTCTAGCTTGGCAAGCGCCTAACTGGAAGCTGCTCTCCAACATTTTATACCAAGAAGTTACATTGGCATTTGATTCCTTAATGTTTGGAAGACATCATGGATTTCATTGCTCAAAGTATTTGGCTTATAGCAGCATCAATGTCTCTCCCTTCTTTAACTCATGATGACCACCTTCTTTAGTCCTTTATGCACATTGTGAGCTTTGCATATTACTGCCTACGTTCTCACTAGGTGATCTCTTTGACTTGTTTCCCATTGCAGCACACACATCCCTCAAGGAATGCTGACATTTTGCACTAGAATCCATAGATGCTACAAAACAATCTAATAAATAACAGGACATAAAAACTATATACATCACACATTTGTGATTTATGCACATACATACCCTCTCCTTTCTCTCTCTTCACACAAAGACAGAGAAAGAGAGAGAGAGAATCAAGCACCTAATAAAGTTATTTTTGTCAGTAATGGACCACATATATAACAGTGATCTCATAAGATTACATTGTCTAGTAACATCTTAATTTGTATAAGTACACTCTATGACATTTGCATAACTAAATAGCCCAATGGTTTCTTAGAACTTATCCCCATTGTTAAGTGACACATGTCAAAGTAAACTGTTAAAGTCTTGCTTTTAAAACATTAAGCTAAACAAAAAATTATTGTGATGAATAAAAAGGCTGGCTTCTGGGGGAACTGATATACTGATAGATACAAGAATGTTTTATTACGTGAATGAATTTACTGCAGAATGATCTGAAAACAGCCATATCTGGCTTTTAGTTTTCTTTTTATCAGAGCATGAAGTCTGCTTCAACTCTCACCTCGGCGGGCATATTTCTCATCCTTGACACAGACATCACTCAAGGAACCCACGGGATCACAATGACATGGCTGGCATGGCCTTGGATAACTTGGTGGCACCTAAAGAATATTAAAATGCTTTTAATCAAGCGTGGTAAAAAAACACCAATATTTTTCAGTTCAGCTAACATTTAAGGTCAAATAAGTTTTTAAAATACATAAATTATTTTGATAGTTATAAGAAATTACCTTTAATACATATTTGGGAATTCTAAATTCCAATTTTTCTGAATAGAGTCAAAATTAAAGAGGAAGGATAACAAATTCTCATGTTTCTGTTGCTTAGATTCAGCAATTATCAAAATTTTGCCACATAGCTTTCATCTTTGCATCCTTTACTAAAATTTTTAAAGGAAATAGCAGATAAAGAGTTTTGAATCCCAATGCATGTGTTTTACAACCACTTATCATTATCATAACAAAGAACTATAATAATATCTTCTTGATAAGCCTAATACATCTCATAGTAAAGCCTTCCTGATTGTTTTGTTTTTTATTACAACATAGTCCAAAATTAGCAAAATTAGGTTTTCTGCCCATTTATATTTCAAGAACTTTACTCACATTGGTCATGACATGATTAATTAAATAGAAATTTTTATTAGGGACTCAAAAAATACTACTAAGCCTTTAAATTAGAAAGTTGGTTTTCTAGGAGGCTGTATAACCTGGGAGGACACAAGGTCAACTCTATAATTAGAAAAATTTGAGATCATATACAAATTAAAATGCAAAGGGATGACATGCAAACCATCTCACTAGATTCTCTGCATGTAATAAGTGCTTAACATAAACTAGTAGCTTTTACTGTTGAAAATTTTAATTAAACAAGCCTAGGCTATGCTCATATACTGTATAGACATTTGTTTTACACATGCAATCATGTAATAAGAAAAGAGCAAAAATCTGAATTAGTTGCTCAGGAAATAATGAAATGCTACTGACTATGAATTCATTTGTATGCATACATTTCCCTCCAGTAAAATGCATCTTGCATATATGTATACATCTAAGATTGATTTGTAAGCAGCAATTAATTTGTCAATATAAATCAGAATGTTAAAACTAGAGTTATTTACATGTCTGATGGAATATGAAAAACTCAGTTCACAGAGAACTTTCAAAATCATTTGTTCAAGGCCCATTCATTACTCTGCCTTTATGTGTAGGAAGTGTGCACAGCACAGATAGGAGGCATGGTCTCTGCCTTAAAAAACTTACAGAAATAACAGATTTGAGAGATACTGATTAAAGAGATATGCTAAATGATCAAACAGACACATTAGCAAAACCTTATGGGGAAAAGAAGAGGTTAATATCACAACAGGATGAAATCACCCATATCTTGTAGAAAAAGTGTTTTAAACTGAAGTTTAAAATAATTAGTAATTTGACAGTGGAATTGGGAGAAGGATTTTTTTACCCAGAGGAACCTACCAGGACATTAAAAAAATCTTTTTCTGTCATATTACCAAAAAAATTCTCTTGAGTAAAATTCTGGTTCTTAAAATTGTGATTTTTTTCATATGATCTCCCTCATATGCGGACATTAGATCAAGGGGAAACACAACAAGGAGATTGGACTTTGATCACATGATAAAGCGAGAGCACACCAGGGAGATATGAGGATAGGTAAGACACCCAAAAGACTAGATAGCATTTGTTGCCCTCAATGCAGAGAAACTAATGCAGATACTTTAAAGGGACAGAGGCCAATAGGAGAAGGGAACTAGAGAAAAGGTTAGTTCGAGAAGAATTAATTTAGAAGGTAACACACATGTACAGGAAAGCAATGCAAGTCAACTCCCTGTATAGCTATCCTTATCTCAACTAGCAAAAACCCTTGGTTCTTCCTATTAATGCTTATACTCTCTCTTCAACAAAATTAGAGATAAGGGCAAAATAGTTTCTGCCTGGTAGCAAAGGGGTGGGGAGGAGAGGGAGGGGGCGGGGTGGGGTAAGGGAAGGGTGGGAGAAGGGGGGAGAAATGACTCAAACATTGTATGCACATATGAATAAAAGAAAAAAAAGACACTAAAAAATTATGATTTTTTTAGTAAACCAATACTTTTGAATTCATTATCATGCCTTATGCTAATTGGAAAAAATTGTCTGAATCAGATAGCTTATGAAGACATTTTCTAATCTATGAGATTCTATAAACAGATCTGCTTTACACTGGTTTTATTAAAGTAATAATTCATGTTACTAATTAGTCCTTTAAGTAAATGTTGCATTATACATATTTCCTATTTAAAATATATACATGTATAAATCAAATATGTGTATACAGCAGATAAATCTAAAAATCAAATCATTATTTTTGTTGTAATTGTTATTATTATTATTATTAGGATTCTGGGGGGTAAAACCAAGGGCCTAATGTATATGCTAAGTCCCCACACTTTAAGACAACAATTTTATGAATATCACAGAGATAAATTTTTGTTAAGTTGCAATGTACAAAACTTTTCTTTCTATAACTTCATGGACTCTTATAAAAATATTAAGTACTTATAAAATTTGCATTTAAAAATTCAGTTAAGCCTAACTATTTTTATAGTATCAAAACATCAGTATCTGGGTGCAGATTCACTTAATTACTTAATGTATAATAAAACTTGACCCAGCTCTGGTTCTTATTATGGCAGAATGACTCCTATGGGATAACCCGACCTCAAGGGGCAATGGTGCACAAAATATAAAACAAATAATTTGAGTACTTATGAGAATAATCAAAAGCATACAGAAACTGGAAGAATTTGATGCTTGAAAAGAGAAACATATACTGAAGGAGATCCATGATTACAGAGGAATATCAACACTGAGAAATATTTAACCAATCTAGTTTGCATAGATATTTATTCAAGAGATTCCAAGGAATCCTATGGAAAGCAATAACTGGAAAACTGAATAACTGAGCAGAGTTTCATAAACAGAAACTAGAGTTTAATTTAACCAAGGTAGAAATGTTAGATAAACCACTGTGCACTTTTCATTAATCTGACTTGACAAAGATAACTTGTAGTTTTCACTCTGTGAATTTATTACTAAATAAAACACCATTCAAAATCTTCAGAGGAAGATTAACAGAATCTAGGTCTTTACATTGTATTATCCAAAATGTATTGTGAAAATCATGAATTAGTAGATATGAAAAAAAAACAGAAAAATGTCATTATTTACATAAAAGAAAATAAAAGTAGACCCTGAGATCCCCTAGCATTGAAATTAACATAGAAGGAAGTCCAATGCAGATATGCAACTATGTCTAAGAACACAAAGGGTATGGCGTTTATAACAAGGCTATGCATGGATTATTTCAGCAGAGAAATGGAAAGCATAAAAGACATAAGAACTCCAGATACCTGAAGAGTAATTATCTCATAAAATAAGTTTAAATAAACTCCTAAAGTCAGACCTCTTGGAGAGTATGCATTCAAATGATTAAACATTCAGTCCAGAAGCAATAAAAATATAATACTTAGCTGGGCACAGATGGCTCATGCCTGTAATCCTAGCTAATTCTGAGGTTGAGATCTGCCCAGGTAAATAGTTCATGAGACCCTATCTCCAAAATAAACAGAGAAAAATGGACTGGTGGTGTGGCTCAAGCAGCAGAAACAAACACATGCAGAAAATGGAAGAACTTGATACTTGAAAAGAAAAATATATATGAAAAAGATCCATAATTATAGAGGAATATCAACGTTCCCAAATATTTAACCAATCTTGTTTGAGTTCAAATTCCAGCAACACCAAAATAAAAAAAAAATACCCTCCCAAAACATAATACTTAAGAAAAACTGAATATTTGGAAAATAAACAACAAAATATTAGAAATTAAATGAGAAGAAATTCAAGAATTAGAAACTATTTTAAATAAATGCTAGTAAACATAAAGCATTTCTAAATTCATCAGAAACAACTGACAAATTTATATTATCCTCTAAAACAGATCAGAGAAATAATACACTGAAAGTAAGGAGAAAAACTCAATAAACCCAGAAAAAGATAAAAAGGATATTTGAAATGATTAAAGGTTTTGATAAGTTCCTAGCATAAGAGATCACTAAAAAGAAGAAAAACAAAAAAAGTTATGAATTAAGGACCCAGAACTAGAGTGACTGAGGCAGGAGGATAGTGAGTTCCAGGCGAACCCGGCCTACATAGAACAACCCTGTCACAAAACAAAAAAGCAAAAAAACAAAAGGAACAAACAAAAAACATGCAAAACATTAAACCTAGTTAGCCCTATATCTAATTGAAAAATTAAATTCCTTAAAAAATTCACTTCCACAAAGAAAATGAGAGGATCAGGTAAGTTTCATTGAGGAATTCTATTCCAAAAATGTACCAACCATTATTTAAAAAGTTAATTAAATCTTCCACAAATTATTGTAGAAAGCTCAGGAAGAGGAAGCATTTCCCAACTCTTTTTCTGAGGCCAGTGTACCCCAATATACACTTGGCAAAGATATCAGAAGAAAATAAAATTACAGGCCAATATCCCTTATGCAAAAAAGCAAAAATCCTTAACTAAATAAAATCATCCAATATATGAAAACTATATTTCATAACAAATTCAGATTGAATCCACAAATGCAAAATTGGTTTAATATTTTATAAAGCAATACAAATTAACAGATAAAGATAAAATATTTATATTTATTTCAGTAGATGCAGAACAGCACTTGTCAAAATTCAATAGCTTTTCATTATTAAAATTCACAACTTCTTAGGAATAGTAGAAAAGTTACCGAATCTGATAAAAGACTTCTATAAAAATCTACAACTCGTATCATACTCAGTAGTGAATTATTATGTGTTCCTTTAAGATTTAGAGCAAAATAAAAATGTCATTTCCCACCATTTATACTTAAACGTTGGCATAAATTTTGCAAGGCAAAGAGTAAGGCTGAATATCTGTAGGCAACAGTTTATGTGTATACTTCTAAAGAATATAGTTAAAACTACTAGAACCAACAAATGAATTTGGGATGGATTCAGAACATAAAGTCAGTATTCAAAAATCTTTCTAATAATGCCCTGAAAATTGAAAAATTATTTTTAAAAATAATTTTTACAATAATCTGAGGCAAAATAATGAAGATTAAGCTTACCTAACAATATATAAAATCTCTACACCATAATTACTGTTATAAATAATTTTAAAAGATACTGAAACATAGGCATACTATGTTTCTTGATAAAGGATTCAACATTATTATGATGTTAGTTCTCTGTGTCTTTGTCTATAGGTTCCAAACAATACTCTCAAGTAATATTTTCTGTAATTGACAAGTCAACTGTAAAATGATTTTTAAAAGCAAAAGAACTAACATAGACAAACTTATTCAAAATGAAGATAATGTTGGGGCACTTTATCACCTGAACTCTGTTTATTAAAGCTAATCACTATGATGGCACGTGATGGACAAACAGACCCATGGAACACACCAAGGCTCCAGAAACTGATCCCATCATATGATTTTGGAATGATTGATTGGCTGTGTAAGTATGAATTATTCACATCACACATAAAGATCTGCCTGGGGTGTGCTCTAAAAGTTAAAATTAGAAGCTTTCTAAAATAAACATGAATGGTATCTTGAGTTGAACAGAAACTTCATGAAAGAAGATACAGAGATAGCACTTGAAATGTAAATATAATCCATAATGAGACACATTTCACACCCATTAGAATGATTAAAACTCAAAAAAGTGTCAATGTTAAATATTACTGATAATATGGGACAACTAAAACTCACTTAGAAATTAAACATATGCTTACCTGTGAAATAATTATTTTGTTTCTAGGTATTTGCACAAAGTAAATCAAAATATGACCACAAAAAGACATGTGTAAAATGTATAAGATTATGTATAGAAACTAACCAAAAGCTAGAAATAACCTAAATATCATCATAAGAGAATAGATTAAAAATTTGGATTATGTTCAAGTAGAGGAATATTACTCACTGAGTTATTTTTTAAAAAAAGTTCTAAGTATTAACACACTGCATGGATAAATCTTAAAACTTTATGATGAAATAAGTAAAGTACACCCTAATTTTAGTATGTATCAGATGATCCATTTTACTTTTTGAAGTTCACTGAAAGGTCAAACTAATGTATATTTTAAAAATCACAATAGTTTTCTGGAGGGATTGATTGAAATGAGGCACAATAGAATTTTCTGGATTTACTTAAATGTTGTATATCACATCCTTAAAGATTTTTGTCAGTTTTGATTATTAAAAGTTCCTAGTCACCTTTCATAATTTGATGTTCAACTATTTACAGAAGCTATCAGAATGATTTTTCTGTTTAGTGTATCTTTGTATGAGAAAGCAAAAATAATACTTTATGACAGAAAAACACACTTTACCCCTTTGGGTCTGAAGAAGCCATCAATACACGTCTCACAATTTATGCCAGCAGTGTTCTGTGTGCAATTGATACACACACCACCTCCGATGTACTTCCCATGTATATTTAGACTCAGATTTCTTCTGGCAACATTTTCATCATAATAGCATTCTCCAGCTTTTCCATGACAATTGCATGCTACATTAAGAAAAAGAAATCCGTAAACATTAATTTCATGCTTCAAACATATTCAGCATGTGCACAAATGTATTTAGAAAGTTTGGATTTATCAGATGTATTAATAAGTTCATATTTCTGATGAAATTTGAAATACTTAAAATACATAAATTAAACAATCTTACTGATTCTTAACAGAAGTACAGATTCACATAGTTCACTCTACAGTTTCCTCTTATGACAAATTACTGAACAACAGCACTGAATGGTTAACCACCTGGTAATCTGTAGTGTAGTCTCCTTCCTATCACAGATGTTGTTTCTCTTTCTTTCTCTCTTTCTCTTTCTCTCTCTCTCTCTCTCTCCCCCACCCACCCCTTTATTTGGTGGTACTGAGATTTGACCTCAGGGCCTCGTGCTTGCTTACTGGCACTCTAATGCTTGACCTATACCTCCAGTCCTTTTCCTCTTTGTTTATTTTGGAGATAAGATCTCCTTTTTTTCCCAGAGCAGCCTAGACTGCAACTCTTCTATTTTAGGCTTTCCACTGTCATTGGGATGACTGGCACATGCTACCATGCCAAGGTTTTTGTTGTTATGATGGGGTTTCATGACTTTTTGCCCTAGCAGCCCTGGAACCACAATCCTCTGGATTTCAGCATCCTTGTATCTTAGAATGAGTTCAATTTTGGTTGAGATGGGGTCTTGTAACTTTCTGCTTCAGTTACCTCAATCCTCCTGATCTCAGTCTCCTGAGCACCTAGGATTACAGATGTGAGCCACCAGAGGCTGGCCGGTATTGAGTTTCTTACCTGTCTTTACATTGATTTGTGGGTGCGCACCTGTACACATGCACAAAGGTGTGTATGTATGCATACAGCTCAATCTGCTTTAGCTTCATAAGAAGAGTCATTTATATACTGCTCTGAACTGCTTGATTTTCTGAACACTAAATTGTGTTGTTATTTTCACATTAGCAGAGGTGTCCCTTCAGGCTATTCAGGGTACTACTTGAATGGGGCATGAGTCAGCACCCCATTAACGGACAGTTACAGGTTGTTTCCAGATTTCTCCTAACAAATAACATTACACATGTGAATAGGGTAGGGGTTGAAGGACAGAAGCACTAACATAACGTTAAACTGCTTCCTGTTTGCCAAGTGAGTGACTCTGAGGAGAAAATTCACATCTTAGCGTCATTCTATCTCTTATAGCCATTTTGAAAATGTGAATATTTAAAAGGATGTCAGAAACATACTCCAATAAATGTTAGTAGCACTGATAGCAGCAATTGAATAATAATGATAAAGACTGTGATAATATGGCCTAGAGACTAATATGAGTACCTCTGTGCTAAATTCTTGGAAGTATAATTTGTAGTCAAAGGGGCACAGCAAGTGGACTTTAATAAGACAAAACATCCTCAATGTTTTAATTGGCACTTGTGAGTGCCATGTGTGAGTGTGATCCTCTTTAGTTTGGGCTGTAAACATCATTTTTTTCTGAGAAGTACCTGTTTTTATCTTTGCTCATATCAGGTCTATTGAATTTTTTTCCTATTGATATGTAAGATCTTTTAATATGGTAAAGATATTGTGTCATTGTCATGATTTTTACAAAAACCTTCCCCAATTCACTGTATTTTGATTTAGAATTTAGTCATTTTGGTATATTAGTACAATTTCAAACTTTATTTTAATAAACACATAGCAATAATTATAAATATCTAGATATTACAAACAACTTTATAACTTCAGGACAATAAACAAGAGTATTTAAACAACCTCTTAAAAAACGGTGAAGATTTCTTCTGCTGGTGCAGAAGGAAATACAGTGTGATACAAACTTATTCTCACACTATTTGGAATTAGTGTCACTGAAAGTATTTGTAACTATGAGCTAACACAGGCAAAACACTGATGCACAAGCATCAGTCCTCCTCATGGTCCCTGCAGCCAGGACCTGCCACCTATTTAACAACTGCACCCTGCCGGCTCTATGTGGATAGCCTTAGGAGATAGCACTGGCACTTGCTATCAAAGAGCCATTTCTGTGCTGTCATCAGAAACTTGCAATTTTGCAGGATGTCCACAATATGTGCCATCGAACTCTTCTTTAAGTACAGGCTCAGGAGAAGAATGAATTTTCAATGTTCTTTAGAGATATATCTTGCCTTAAATAAGCCAGATAAATGAAAATCCAAATTAAACTCAAGTGAATTAGAAGGCAATTATCCATTTTAGAGAGGGATTTATCATATCACAGAAGAATTTTCCTGAATATGAAGGTTATTAGAGTGCGATTCAACTTGGAAAAGAAAAATATTGTATAAACTTTTAGGAATGCATGTGTCATGAAAGGCATGATGTTTATCTAATATTTTATAGTTAAGATGCACACCTTAAACCTCGAGGTTTTCAGAATGCTTATTCTTCAGTTTGGAAATATAAATATCTCCTCTGCTCTATAGAAAAATAGAAAATTTTCCATAAGGCTAGTATTTTAAAAATGTATATAATAGCAAGTGGTGAAAATTATAGCAAAGCTTGTTAGGAACAAATTTAGTATAAGAGGATGAAAGTTGGGAGAAATGGGGAAAAAGGGAGAAGCAAAAAAGGTGAAAAAGTGGAAATCTTTTGCTTCACCTTTAGTCTGCCTCTGCTGCTTAAAAGTTGATCTATTCTTTCTGGTTTTTAATTAAATGTAGATATACAAGTGAAGAGGGGTAGAGTTTTGCAGATACACTTAACATTACATAATCATAACTGTGTGATAGGATGTCAGAGACAAGAAGACTACTGACCCTCAAAAGCTTCTCCCACTATGACTGTTATTATTTCACAACTAGAAATTTAATTCAAATTAAATTTGAGAGCAAATATCCGTGAGTGGAATTTCATTTAAAGTGACCCTTGGGGGCTGGTGGAGTGGCTCAAGTGGTAGAGTGCCTACGTAGCAAGCATGAGGCCCTGAGTTCAAACCACAGTGCTACTAAAAAAGAAAAAAAAACAACTTTAGAGTTACCCTAAATGAATGAATGTCAGCTCCCTGTGGAATGAATTCCTGAGGGATTACCTGGAATGAGACTAGGAGTAGTTGATAAAAACTAAGGCTGGGCCTATGGGGGTCCCCTACAGTGAAGAGTGACCATCTAGTGGTGCCCAGATCTCTAGCTACATCCTGGTAATGATGGGAGATTTCTAATTCAAAATATCTTTACAAGCAGGCAGACACAAGTTAAATAACAAAGACCTAAGTGCAGAAAATAAGGGACTCAAAACATGACAACAGGTGCAGCATCTTAAACAAAAGAAGAAATATATTTTATGGTTGGAGAATACTTTTATGGTTGAAGTGTATTTAGTAGTCTTCAAGACTTAGAACGTCTGACATATGATACATAATAAATATGAACTACTTTATATTCAATAAAAATGTAGGGTTGGTATTGGTCAAAAGCATCTAGCAAATCTGGTTTTTGAGGCCTTATATATTAGGGAACATAAATGTATGGTTAAGGCCAATTCACTAACATATTAATATTTGCATTCAGCTCAGTGGGCTTCATGCCAGTCGGTGTGTACAGTTCAGCAGAGGTCAGGAGAAAATCTCCAGAAGCACAGGTTTACCCAGATTCCCTGTCACCAGTTGGCAATACTAAGCTATAAAGTCACCATGACACTTGTTAGGATTTTCCGCAGGAAAAACTAGATGTATAGGGTATCTTCAAAGAGATCATGCAAGAGTATTTGTTGACAATTTGCATAGTCAGTTATTTTATTAGTTTTCATCACTTTCATTTTCTTGGTGATTACTGTCCAATAACTGCTATCGCATAGTTTATGCAATGATTATTGCTAATACCACTTTTAATATGAGGAGCCCTATACTATTTTTATTCAGAAATCTATATTTAAAAAAAATTTCACCTATGTTTAATCAGTATGTAAAAGACACATCTATACTTCCCTCATGTTTGCTATAACACTAATCATAATAGTTAATACTATGATCAATCTAATGTCCATCAACTGAAGAATAATAGACAAAGAAAATGTGGAATATACATAATACTGGAATACTATTAAGCCATAAAAAGAATGAACTCTTCCATTTGTGATAACATGGGTGGAAGTGGAGATTATGTTAAGTGAAATAAGCCAGGCAGAGAAAGACAAATACTACAAGGTCTCACCTATATGTGGAATCTAAAAGAACATAGGTTTCATAGATGCTGACAGTAGAATGATAGTGGTTATCAGAGGTTGAGAAGAGTGAGAGGAGAGAAGAGAGATGGGGAAAGTTTGACCAGTGAGTTTTAAGCTATAGTTAGCTACAAGAAATAAGTTCTGGTTTTCTATTGCCAAGTAGGATGACTATATAAAATGAAAATGTACTGTATATTTTAAAGAAGCTAGAGAAAGGATTTTTAATATTTTCATCTCAAAGTAATAACACATAGTACATATTCTTATCCTGATTTGAACATCTGAACATCTCTTGTCTTTGTCATCTTTTATTCTTGTAGCCTTCATAGCTACTGCCCCTGAATATCACCCATAATAACTATCACTAGTGAATCCTAATATATGAATGGCTTTTTTCCTGGTAATAGTCTGGCTCTATCACATAGGGTATAATCTCTGATTTTCCTCTTTTATTAGATAGTAAGCATTCAAAGGTTATTTACTAGGAAAGGGGGGTTAGAGCATGGTGCTGCAAAGGAAGCAGCTAGAAAGAGCTAGAGCTAATGTACATTTTGGAAGCATTTCACAGGTACGTGCATTTAGGCTAGTCTCCACACAGTGTAGGTTTTGCTTAATGGTTATTTACATTTCTATTAGTCTATATATGAACTGTGCTATAAGCATTGGGTTCACCCTGATGACCATAAGAATGCTTTTGCATATTCCTCATAATCCTCACATAATGGTAAATCCACAGGCATTTGGCAAATACTTGCCAAATTTAAAAATATAGGGGCCAAAGAGGTAGCTCAGTGGTAGAGCACTTGCCTCACCTGCACACAGCCCTAGGTTCTATTCTCAGAACTGGAAAATTTTTTTTTTTCATTTTTCTTTTATTATTCATATGTGCATACAAGGCTTGGTTCATTTCTCCCCCCTGCCCCCACCCCCTCCCTTACCACCCACTCCACCCCCTCCCACTCCCCCCCTCAATACCCAGCAGAAACTATTTTGCCCTTATCTCTAATTTTGTTGTAGAGAGAGTATAAGCAATAATAGGAAGGAACAAGGGGTTTTGCTGGTTGAGATAAGGATAGCTATACAGGGCATTGACTCACATTGATTTCCTGTGCGTGGGTGTTACCTTCTAGGTTAATTCTTTTTAATCTAACCTTTTCTCTAGTTCCTGGTCTCCTTTTCCTATTGGCCTCAGTTGCTTTAAGGTATCTGCTTTAGTTTCTCTGCATTAAGGGCAACAAATGCTAGCTAGTTTTTTAGGTGTCTTACCTATCCTCACCCCTCCCTTGTGTGCTCTCGCTTTTATCATGTGCTCATAGTCCAATCCCCTTGTTGTGTTTGCCCTTGATCTAATGTCCACATATGAGGGAGAACATACGATTTTTGGTCTTTTGAGCCAGGCTAACCTCACTCAGAATGATGTTCTCCAATTCCATCCATTTACCAGCGAATGATAACATTTCGTTCTTCTTCATGGCTGCATAAAATTCCATTGTGTATAGATACCACATTTTCTTAATCCATTCGTCAGTGCTGGGGCATCTTGGCTGTTTCCATAACTTGGCTATTGTGAATAGTGCCGCAATAAACATGGATGTGCAGGTGCCTCTGGAGTAACAGTCTTTTGGGTATATCCCCAAGAGTGGTATTGCTGGATCAAATGGTAGATCGATGTCCAGCTTTTTAAGTAGCCTCCAAATTTTTTTCCAGAGTGGTTGTACTAGTCTACATTCCCACCAACAGTGTAAGAGGAGAACTGGAAAATTTTTTTAAAAAATTTTAAGAAACCTGGAAAACTGAGGGACTAGCATAGTATGGGAAAGATTTACCAGCTTTTGCCTTGGGTAAAATGTATAAATAGAGCTGAGCATGGTGGCACATGCCTGAAATCTGAGCTACTGGGGAGGCAGAGTCAGGAGGATTGCAGTTCAAGGTTAGCCTTAGGTTGGGGGGGAGGCTACAAGACCCTGTCTCAAAAATAATCCAGGCATAGTGGTACATGCCTGTGATCAGGAGGCAAAGTAGGAGGATCACAGCCAGAGGCCAGCCTGGGCAAAAGCACAAGACCCTATCTAAAAATCTGTAAAAGCAAAAAAGGACAGGGAGCGTGGCTCAAGTAATAGTCCACTTACCTTACCTAGCAAGCAAATTGGGCAAAAGAGCCACCTGTTTATGTCCCCTGTGTTCCAGGAAAGGAAGAATGATACACAGTTGACCTCTCAAGTACATACCTTCACACTCAGTCTTGGTCAGGAAAGTCCCAGCTCTCCAGGGTTTCTGGTGGAATCCGGGACAGCACTGGTCACAGCTCTCACCACAAGTGTTGTGCTCACACTCACAGCGAGATTTCTGGCCACAAAGACAGGGAAGCACACTTGAAGCATTATTTAGAGCCACCAAGGAGGGGCTCTCTCTAGTATGAAGCAAATAGAAAACTTCTAGTCTCTGAAGTAAAAGGTAAAACTCCTGCCAGCCCCGCAGGAAGCAGTGCCAGCCTGGGAGTTGGCACAATGACCCACATCAGCTTAGGGTGGTCCAGGCTGGTTCTGGAATCACTGGGTTTAGGTTTGGAGAGAGTTGGGAGGCCTAACTGATGCCTGAATTCTCTGATGCCTGAATCTGTGGGTTTTTGGGTCAGATGTTTAATTTCAAGGCCTCCTGCAAAGTGCTGTTAACATTTTTGGATGTGTCAAAAGAGGAGAGAGTTGATTCCCTTAAACATGCAGGAAGGGACATGGGAAAAACAGGGATCTCATGGTCTTAGCCCTAAATCTCCTGTCTGTGAGCTCAAAGTACAGTCTCAACTGACCCACGTAACTGCCTTGCCATGGCTGCCTTGTCAACTTTCAAAGCTTGGGAAACATTCGCCATCATTGACCCTAATAGAGAACACCCAGACCATGCAGCACACAGCAGTACAGCCTTGTCCAGAAAAACAGCCAGTTTTTTTCAGTCATTCTAGAGGATAACATTAGATACTCCATTAATTAGAAAAGTAGTTTTGAGTTTAATGTCATTTGTAGTACAGTTTTATAGAGGCAAAAGGAAAAAATCCATGGCCCTTCTGACATTCACTGAGTTTACTAGTCAATATATTTCTGCAGAGTACATGATTGTTAATTTCACTGGCTTGTTTATGACAGGAAAAACAGGTGCTCATTCATCTTCTTCTTTAGGTTATGTTTACCTAATACAAGTATTGTCATTAACAGAAAATTCTACACAAAAGTTTTGCAGCATTTCCTAGACTGGTAGTTTCAACACTTTCTTTTTAATTTTTTTTTGATTTTTTGATTGATCATACATTAACAGTGTGAGGGGATTTCACTGTTGTAACTCCATACGTGCATAGAGTGTACCTTGAACGTCTTCACCCACTACCTCCATTATACTCTCATTCCCCTTCTCCCTCTGTCCCCCTCTTTCAGAGTTTGGTGGGCTTCATTATGCTGCTGTCATATGTATATATGCAGTGTACTTCCATCCTCTTCACCCCTCACTACCCTTTCCTTTCAAGCCTTTCTTGAATTCTCTCTTCCATTGGACTCCTTATTGCCCTGCCCTACCTCAGCCTCAGGTTCCATGGCTATTTATATACCAACCTCCATGCAAAATATTCATGCTGCATTTTCTTATTACTAAAAACATTTTTTTAAATGAGCAGGGTGATTGATGGCAGGCAATGTCCGAAACTAAATCATGCAGCAGGCTGTCATACCTAGAAAGACTTCAAAATAGGTACCAGTTTGGAACCTTTTGGGGAAAAAAAAACTAATCTGTTTTCTGATACTGCGATGGCTGACTTCAAAGTCTATCATCTTAAATGCTGGTTCTGTTTCACCCTGGCATGGCTTTCTGTTACACTGTCTAAGTGGGGACCTGACACCCATTCACACTGTTCCTGTCAGCAAAGCCTCTCATGCAGCATTTTACAGTTCAGGGTTTCATTTTGCCTAAGCATCCTATAAATATACATACATTTGTCGCTGGATCAAGTGGACAAGCCCTGGCATGACCATAGCAGATGCACATGCCTCCAACTGAAATATCCTTGACAGAGTAATAATACTGCAAAAATCAACCCAGAGAGAAATCCTGTTAGAATGACGGTGAGGGGATGTAAGGTGAAAGGAACAAAAGGGACTATTCAGTTCAAAACTTTATTTTTTGCTTTCATCTTTCTTGTGGACAAGTGACAGATCTCAAAACAGGTAAACTAACTTCTAACTTTGTAATCATACCCCCCCTACAATGCCTCTAATTGATATTAGGTGGGCACTTTAGAAATGTCTTTCCCACAGGAACGTCACAGTCCAGGATGGACCTACTGCTGAACAGTAGTTTTTATTATGGGCTAAGGACAATATTTCTTCATTAAGATATTTGATGCAGTTTCTTTAAAAAAAAACACTTTTTTGTGATCATAGGAAACACAGTATTCACAAATCAAGATTCCTATTTTACTTGATAGATTTGAAAAGAAACAATAAATTTAGGGTAGATTGTGGTGATCACAATATATTTTTACCCAAATTTAGAAGGAAAAAAATAGCTAACCATAAGTTTAATTTGAAGAATTTTTTTTATTATTATGGTAAAATGTGCATACAATTACCTTCCTATCTGAAGTTAATACAGGGCTATGGCATTAATTATTTTAATCTGCCAGCTCTTTTTTAAAAAGCTATTCATAATTACAGAACGGTACTAATATTAAAATTTTAATTAACATGTTTATAACATTTTCTAATTGCAGAGACCTTTACATTACCATATAGAATCCAAATAACCCTCTATTATTCCAATTACACATATTGAAAAATACCAGTTTTAGCAAGAATAGTATGTGAACACAAATCCCCTTTTTTTCCACTTGCTTCTTTTTCTCTTCTTGTTTTGTTTTATTACTTACATACAGTATCTTTTGAAATATTTTTGTTACATTATCTTCTTTGATATACCTAGATCTTAAACTAATAGAACTTGCTAGGAAATTTGGATACTGTAAAAATCTTTTCATGTCACTCCGTTACTTAGTAATATAGATACAAATGGAGATACTTGCTCAAAAAGCTGGTATAGTATTATTTGTAGATGCTCTTAAAATTGAGAAATAGATCTTAAATACAAATATATAATGCTTTGCTTTTGAATCATGAAATTCAATATCCTATTTTGATTTATTTAAATTTGCATGCAGTGTTTATTGAACTTGAGTACTTTCAAAAAACATATTTATTGTTGACTGCACTGCTTTAAAGGCTCATGTACATTGTAGTCATAAATAATAGATGTGTATCCTAACCTCTGCTCTGCCTCCTGCAAATAATGATAAAATGAACACTAATTTATTTTCATTGATTTTTCCCTGATAGATACACTGTCAAGAAAAAATAAATTTCACTTCAATATTATTCAAGCTTCCTCTATGTATATGTTAAAAGTCATGCCAAAATTAGAATTAAAAGTGATTTTTTAAATGTGAAGAATATAAACAATGCTGTGATTTAATGATTACTTCTTCACAAGACAATTTGACAATATGGTGAAATATAGTATAAGGTGAAATTATTTCAGGTTTGGAAAATACAGGGCACTAAAACACCTGACATATGTTGTATGGCAATAATTAAAACTTAAAAGTTATTTTGTGGTGATGGAGAGGTTAAACGTGGGGAAATTGTGAAATGGGGAGGGGGAACCTGTCAGGAGTGTTCAGGAACTGTGGTAGTCAACTTATTGGTTCAGCACTATAGCAGTGGTCTGATTTTAACAAGATCCTTCTAGAATTAAGTACTTTGCCCCACATTGCAGGTTTTCCCTAGAACCCTCTTTCTCAACTATACCTAACAAGTAGATGACTTGTTAGCATGGATGTGCTTCATGGATTTATGACTGAATCTTGGGATAGCAATGTCTTGGTTGTGTAGTTGTATATGAGGTGGTGACATAAACCAGTGAATACAGAATGGAGAAGAGAAGATGAAGTACAAGCATCATTTATGGTAATCTGCACCACCATCTGTGTTATAATCCCAGAAATTCCATTTAATACTGGAAGGAGGCACTTCTAACACCAGTTGCCAAAGATCTTGTTGAGAAGAGGTTTTAACCCAGTTATTTCCTTCTGTTATTTTATGCACAAAGGAAAATCAAACAGTATGTAGAATCAGATTTCACTTATTACAGTGCTATTTAAAAGTATGGTTCATGATTCACTAATGAAGGGTAAAAATATTTGATCAGACAAAATGGTCCACAGACCAGCAACACTGACATCACCAGGGAATTTTCTAGAATTGCACAATCTCAGTCCAGCCGTAGACCTACTGAATTAGAATCTGTATTTCCATGGGAACACTAGCTGATTCTAGGCATATTAAAGTTTTAAAGTTTAAGGCATATTGCTCTGTGTGTGTGTGTGTGTGTGTGTGTGTGTGTGTGTGTGTCTGTGTGTCTGTGTGTCTGTATGTCTATGTGTTGGGTCATGACACAAGATACATTTCTTAATATGAGTTGTAACCAAAAATCTTTCAAAGTCCCTGAAGTTTCAGTAATCTGCCCAAAGCCAAGTGTAGTAATTGTACAGTTCAACTAAAGTGATGAAAACTAATGTAGTCCTAAAAAAGATTAAGAACTAGATATGATCCTCATTTTACAAAAGAGGAAATTAAAGTTTAAGACTGTTAAAAGGCTGATAAATGTTACATATCTAATAAGTGGCCGAGCTTGGATTTGAACAAAAGGTCTGCTGAATTTTAAAGCCTTTGATAATAACTGCTCTGACCAATGCCTGAAAAGTTTCTAAATTCCTTGACAGACAATTAAAAAGACAGGCGAGATCTCACCCACAGGCACCGACACGATTCATCGCCACTTACTCTTCTGGTGACAATGGGGTCGATTTCTCTGGGGTCTTTGTGAGCGAACATCATGAGGTCTGCATTCAGGGTGCGGATGCGCTGAAACCTCAGGCGAATGTAGCGTGCAGAGGTGAATTCCAGCAGCTCCTGGGAGGGGTCGTCAGCGCTTGGCCTCCCGTTGATCAAAGAAATGTGAATCTACACAACAGAAAACAACGGGACAATTAAGTTTACAAAATTAAGTGTTTGGGTTTGGTAGTTTCTTTTTCCTTAGAAAAATAAAGGTAAGTTTCTGTTTTTGCGGTGGGGCAGACGCACTTAGGCCCTGTTCACTCAACTGTAGCCTAGTGAAGGCACTGAGGTGTTTCGTGGTCTTGTTAGCATGTTTGCATGCGGTTCATTTGCTTATGTCTCACGTGCACTCTGTGTGGTGGACTCCAATTACCTATACTCTGCTCTTCCAAGGCACTGTGTCATCTTCCCTTTCCTAGATTTTTCCTAAGTTCTTAAACCAGTTATTCTTTTTCTGCAGATTACTGTGGGCTAAATTATTTAAGAATCTGGTATACAGTGAGAAACAAGAAAACTTGGTAAAAATGTTATATATTATTTGACAAAAATAGGAACAGAAAATAATTCTAGACTTGAACTCATTTCACTGTGCATAGAAACATATTTCTATGAAAATAGAAGGAGCAAAATTGGTAAGTGATAAGGAAAGTAAGAGAAATCTCTGCTCACTGTTACACATTTCAATAGACTGATCTTTGTGGTGACTCATTTATTTTTTAATAATAATTTAATAATAAGCCAAGTTGATAAAAATTTATCAGGGAGATAATACACTCTAAGAAAAATGCATTGTGTAAAAACACACGAAACATAGACGGAGCAGACTCTTTTAGGAGTCTAATTTGGCACAATTGACACCAGAAGAAATACGATCTGGTCAGACCAATTCTCATGTCAAAATGGAGACGTTATGAAGAAACTTCCCTCCAAAGGCACATGAAGCTGCATGTTCTCACAAGACTATCTGGAGACCACAGAATTCCAGCAAAGGATAAACTGTTAAATAAAGGAAAAAGGAAGCATATCCTTAGTACCTAAAGAAATTTTGTAGATCAACAAGGAAAAAGATCAAGAAAATAACGTACACACATGAGAAAAAAAGACAAAAAAAAAAAAGTAACTATCCTATTGAAACAGAAACATACATGTCTTTTAAACTATTGATAAGATACTGAGCTTCACTTATAATAAGGTAAATGCACACTGACAAGCTCATTCTGATTTTTTAGGTTGTCAAAACTCTCCATTATTGACAATACTCTGATGGCAAGACTGGGTGGGGGGTGTGCAGGCCTATCTACCATACTTATGAGAATGAACATAAAATGACAAATACCTTGACAATTTAGTAATAACTACTAAAAAGAGAAATGCACAGAGTGATTGACTTGCAATTATACTTTTGAGAATGATGTTAGAAACTACAAATAAAAATAAAATATTACATACAGATGATATAGCCAAAGAACCAAATGTTTCCCTTCCCCCATCCCAAGTTTATATGGCATTTGGAGGTGGGGACTTTGGGAGCTCATTAGGTCATGTGGGTGAGGCCCTTATTAATGAAATTAATGCCCTAATAAGAGCACTATGAGAAGTCTGCAGTTTGTAAAATCCAGGAGGACAGTCCTCACCATCACCCATTCATGCCTTGTTGGCACCCTGATCCCAGAGTTATGGCTTCCAGAACGGTGAAAACTAAACATGTGCTGTTTGCAAACCATCTACTCTATGGAGCTTTGTTATAACAGCGTGAATGGACAAAGGCAGTATTATTCCTTCAGCATCTCTTGGATCATAGCAAAACAGTGGAGACAATGTAATATTCATCAATGTGACACTGGTTAAATAAATTACATCCCTGCTTATTGAATTATGCACAACCATAAGAATGAAGAAATCTTACTGTACTTTATAGTAAAAATGCTTTAATTTTTGTACTATATAAATAGAATGTTACCTATACAATAAATTTAATCAAATCAAACTTGTTAAAGACATTGATCTTGCTTGGTAGGTTTTGAATGAAAAATATGCACACAAACTCAAGCGTGCATACACACATGCACACAGTGCCAAAGTGGCAGGAATACTAAAAGAAGGACCTCTGAACCAGGAGGGAAGTTGTTCAGGTATAGGACCCTAGGTCACTCTTGAACTTTCATCCACTTTTGAAGGCAATAGATCATGTATGTTAATTACAGTTTTTGACAGGGGAGGCAATGATATGTATTTCCATCCTAACATCCTACATTTTTGATAATCCCAGAGAGCATGTTACAAACTGCCTGCAAATGAACTAGAGTCACTAGAGAAATGTAGCAAACTCTGAAATAAGAAACTAATTCTGATGTATAATGAATAGACCAAAAATGCCTCATGATAAAAATATGAAATGCTCTAGCTAATTGACTCTAACTTGGGTACTGAGTAAAGAATAAATTAACTGAATCAACACATTGGATGGTGATAGAATACAAGTTTTCCTAAGATACGGAATTTCAAAATACTGAATCCCCTCTACTGCAGGAAGGTCTAAGAGCAAAGTAGATCTTAGAATGCCACAATTCTGGCATCTAACAAGTGAGCCAAAATATGTTTGAAATTAACCAGTCTCTACTGCTTAAGGAAGCATCAATTAATGCCTCAACTCAATGTTCAAAGGATGAAAAAATAGATGCATGGAGCTATGAAAACTAGTTTTTCCTAGATATTAATTTTGGCATCCAAAATGGTTACCAGTGTCCTTGAATTCATGCTTAAGTATCTTTCAAGTTCTCTTTTGGTGGCATCCTCCAAAAACACTATTTTAAAGAAAAGACTGAGTTACTACGTTTCTAGTATTAGATTTCCTGAATATTAGTAAGGTTTCTTTGATGTGGTGAACCACATTTGTGCTATGTGAGCAACTACTCAATTTCTCACTTAAATATACAGGCACTTCAAAGGTAGGTGCACACATAGCATGCTCATATATAGGTTAGTAAACCATATCATTGCTCTGCCACATGCAGCAAGAGAACACTTCTCACAGCTTTGGTATTTTCATCAAGCTACTCGGCCAAGAGATCTTGTGAGGCTAGTTAGTCCCAAGCCATTTCTGGGATACAAAACCAGCCAGCTGCTTGGCCATGCTGTGTGCAGCTTCTTTACACTGTTTTTTTCTTTTTTTTTCCCACCGTCCTCCAAAATAAATTGTAATATTGGATAGGCCATTTCCTCTGGTACAATGCTGTGCTGATTTCCTATGGGTGACAACTGGAGGTGTCTATTTTCAAGGAAAATGAAAAGAACAATCCCCAAGACCACCACTGCTTTGCTGTGAGATCCTGGGAAGTCTGTGGCAGTCTAGTGTCTTCTGAAATGGTTCCTATTACAGACATGGTGGTGGGTGTACATTCATGCTGTCATAGGAATTTGCTCCAACTGAAAATATCTAACTACAATTATCAAGTGGCTTTTTAGATTTTAAAACCACTTTTTTCTAAAATGAATTTCCACAGGCAAGTGAAAAGAAAAAAAACCAGTATATCTCATTTATTACCAAATGAGTATATCAATATTATAGAGTGTACCCAGATAATTCTGTTTTTAATAGATCACTCATATTATATGGTATGGTTCCTTGGCAGATGAATAAGATCTCTGTGCCTCTGTGGATTTTTAGTTTAGAATATGATTTTTAAAATATTTTATGCAGGAAACAATGAGATTTGTACTATGGAAAAGTGTCCCATTTTTACATGACTATATCTGCTTCAGATTGCTGGAAATGTTCTAGTCCCAATACCCTTCCCAGTGACATAAGTTTGTTGAGGGAATGGACAGACAGGACAAAGATCATTAATATGCATTAGAAACTTTGAAATGAGTAGCAGAAGTGGATGAAGTTGAGTAGGGGAAGTAGATGAACTTAAAATGTGGTATGCTTTCTTTGAACATTTTTAAAATTCTTTTGTATTAGCAATCTCTAAGAGTGTGTCAGTGAATTAGGCATAACCAGTTGAAAGTAAGCTGACCCCAGGAGTTCAAATACTAAGTCTACATGTGTAGAGTGAGATTAGTCATTCATATTTGTGGCCTCTGAATTTATACATAAATGAATGGCTGAGACACCTGGAAACCTCTTAAATCCAATGATGCATGGTTTTGTTTTAGTAAGGGAGAGTTAGGTTGTAAAGATAACTTTGAAAAAATGACCCAAATCACTTTACTTTAGATTGTGTAAGACATTGTTTACAGAAAGGAGGTGAGCTGTAAGAAGATCAGAAAAAGGGAATGACACAACCATTTTTCATTGTATTTCTATCAGAGGGTAAAGACTTTGGGTCTGGCTTTGGGTGGAAGTAGGTACCTTTTTGGTCTATTCCTCTACTATGTTCCTACTGTTCTAGAGCTTCTTCCATTTCACTATACCTGCTCTTGGGAAAGTCAATAATGACTGTCACATTACTAGCTAAAATGACCAGTTCTCAGTCATCACCATCATCAACATCATCATCATCATCATTATTATTATTATTATTATTATTATTTGGGTGGTACTGAACTCAGTGCCTCACACTTGCTAGGTAAACGCTCTACCACCTGATCCACTCTAAATTCGAAACCAATTGATTACTTCAGTGATCTCCAGCACACACTCTCCTTGTTTTGCTCCTACCTTCCTGGCTTCTCCTTCTCAATCTCCTTCACTATTACAGGTTGAGTATGCCTTACTTCAAATGCTGTAGACGAAAATGTTTCAGATTTTGGAGTTTTTAAAAAATATTTTGGAATATTATCATACACATGAGATATCTTCAGAATGAGAACCAAATTTAAACACAAAATTGATTTATGTTTTATGTATATCTTATATACATAGCTTGAAGATAACTGTATATTTTTCTTATACCTGTGTTTTAACTGTGATCCATATCATGAAGTCAGATGTAGAATTTTCCACTTGTGATACCACGTGGCACCATTTTGGCTCACATTTTGGAACATTTCAGATTTTGGATTTTTGAATTAGGGATGTTCAATTTGTTCCTTACTGCTTCCCTAACTTTGTAATACTTGACCTCTTCTTCTGCTCCACTTACACTGCTTACTTAGTCACCCATTAAAGCTCGCCATCTATA